CTTGGCCTAGTCTGATGAAATATTATTTACACAAACTGTGTGTACTTTCTGTTTGGACGATGAAAAAACGACCATACATATTATGTGTGACTGATCTGACCGTCATGAGACGCAGAATGTTTGGGCATGGCTTTCTCAGTGTTGGTGAGTTCACATTCAATTCTTTGGAAGGTATATTCAGGTATTTACCTAAGACTGTGATAGTATAAGTAGGATATGAGAGGGGTACAATATAAGTCATGGCTGATTGCTTTGGTTACTTTAGAACAAGTTTAAAAACTGTGCTAAAAATTACATTTTCATATTGTAATTAATTTAAAAAACAAAAACATAAATGAATTTTGGATTGTAAGGGATTTCCCAATTCATTTTTTTTTCCCAAATTATAAATTAAGTCATAAAATTAACAAAAAATTGTTGATATCGCAACAGAATAATAAAATAGCTAAAATATCTAATAACATAAAATTATTAAATAAAGTGTTTTCATTTAATAACTTGCTGCTATATGGTGCCACATTCACCCATAAAAAAAAAAACCAAAAACTTAACATTAAACATACTTTCTTCTAATCTCATAACATTTCCATTTTTTTTTTTTTTTGTATCCTGTTTAAAAATCTCTTGTGATATTTTGACCTCTTAATGTTAAAATAGCGATGGAAAATAGCAAAGTTTAAAAAAAAAATCATGAGAGTACTTTTGGTTTTTTTTTTTAAAGCATTACTAAATAAGTACCATAGTCGGGACGGGACTATTATGTGAGGTTAAAGACGCAGATGTTTATGGAACTTTTCTCATTTTTATTTTTATATTTTTCTATATATATATTTTCTCAATTTTTATTGTGCTCTTCTAATCAATAATAATAATTATTTTCCAGGTTTTTAAAAATAGTCGATTTCATCATTAATACTCGTAGTTTGGTTATAATGGCCGTATATAAAAGACTAAGATGTGTACAGAATTAAATGACAGTTTCAGTTAAATAAGAGGGAATTTCAATATATTAACATGTAAGTATGTATGTATATTAAATGAAAGGAAATCATGTATAATAATGGCAAAGTTCAAAGACAACAAAAGAAATCAGAAAATAACAAAAAAAAAAAATAACAAATCTTAAAATGTCGTATAAAATATTCGCTGACTGATAGATAAATCGTGCAGTCTAAATTGTGAGCCCACCTAGTAAGATTTTCATCTAATAGTCAAAGTTTTGCAAATTCCTATGATTAATCGTTTCCTTTTGCTTTCATATATATTATGGGATATATACTTCCACATATATATATATATATATATATATAAATTGTAATATAAAATTACAGTTTTCATTTTCCTAAAATCTTGTCCATCAATATTGCTTTTCCGTTCCTTACATATTATATTTTTTTCTCTATTCAATTTTTTCTCATGCTTTGCTCAATAATTTGAGTTTTCCACCTTTGATATAAGGAAAATTTGTTTCGCATATTTTCTATTTTTGATTGTCATTTTTTATTTTTCTTTTTCTCAACCATAAACACAGCCGAGATTAACTTTTAAAACCATAAAATACAATAGCAATAAAAAACTAAAAGCATAATGAAAAGCGTTTTCTTTTTTTGTTTTTCTTTTTGTTTTTTTAATTTTTCGCCCTTGAAGGAAATTCAAGTCATCAATCTCGTAGTGCATTCGCTTTAAACCATGAATTTTAAGTTTTCTTTTTATTTTTCATCTTTTAGTTCAGCAGAGTTAGTGTTGCTCTTTTATATTATTACAGGAATCATCCAGATCAAGTTAATCTTATTGAAAAAAATTTTTAACCAAATGCAGCTGTTGCAAAACTTATACCGGGTGTCTGAGACTCAACTGTACTCCCGCAATAGAATGACTACAGACGAAAAAACAAATGCCTACTAACATTTAGGTTTTTGTGTTCTTCTTCTCGAGTTATGAGGCCTCAAAGTTACAATTTCTGAAAACCGTATAGTATGATAGATAAAGCAAACTTTTCATACTAATTATGAAGATAATGAAATTCCCCTTCTAGCGGCATATCAGAATGGTTCGAACACTTTTATTTTCAGAGCTGTATTTAAGTGCAAAGTTAAAATTTAAAAAAAAAAACTTCCAATAAATTCTCCTTTAATCGCCATTTACTTATAATTACAGTACACGTACATACCTACGGTTTTTTTTTTTGTTACAGACAGAGGGTTCTACTTTTCGGTCTCGAACACTCTGTGTAAAAAATAAAATAAAAAATGCAAAAATTCAATGATTTTTTTTAATATTTTTGTACTATTAGAAAAAAAATTTTTCACTATGGTTAGAATGATGGTGCCATCATTCACCTCACCTTTTTTTTCTCATATTTTTAGTGTTATTGATATTTTTATTTATGGAAGATTGAATATTTTTATTTATTTGATTTTTTTTAAGCCTACGGGTATATACAAATGTAATAATTATTTATTAGGTGAGATTAATCATATAAGAAAGGTTATAAATTAAATATTGGAATGCAAAATACATTAGAAATTTAATAAAAAAGAAGCAAAAAAAAATGAATTACTTATTGAAAATTTAAATATATTTAAAGAAAATATGGTATTAGGTGGTACATATCAAATACAATGAATTAAATGGAAACAATAATGTACGTAATCTTTTATAAATTATAAAAGTTTCATCAAATTAGCAATCAAATTATAGAATTAATTCCATAATATTTAAATCGTTAGTTTTAGGAAAATTGAGTTCTTAAAAATTATAAATTTGAACATCTTATTGAAGGAATTGAATTCAAATTCTATAAAAAATATCGTAATTCTTCATCTTGTTTGATATTTAAGCTATCGCAGGCTATTGCAGGTAGAGAATTAAATATGTGATTTTGCGTCTGGAATTTCTGCAATGTTTTACTTGCAGCTATTGTCAGTTTTAAAAATGTAAAAAGCAATGCTTCATGACTTAAACAGTAGTGTGTTGTGTTAAACATACACACTACAATATTGACAGTGTTCTAAGTGCGAAATGCGTTTTCAGAAGAATCTACAATTAAAATCACTATTTTCAATTCAATTATATGAGTAAAAATGTAAGATGCACATATTTCTATAAGTATTCTTCTCAATTTACTTTAAATAAAAAATTTAAACGTAGGACAATTATTGTAAGTCTAGGAGCACTGAAATAATTGTAAAAATTTTAATTAATTAAAAAAATTTATTATTAATTTTTTTTTTATTAAATTTTATTTTAAATTTTTTTTTATCCTTATAATATAATTTCGACAAAATCTTAAAATTTTTATATTTTTTTTTAATCTTTTTTTTTTTTGTTTAAAATTAAAAATTAATAAGAGCTTTTGTTACCGTACGTACTCAATCAACTCGTTCTCATGCTTTTATCAAATTATTAATATTAAATATATTACAAAATAAAATTCTAAAATTATATTACACATTAAATTAAATTAAATTAAAAAATAATTTACAAATTTTTTTTTTTTATTTTTTATAACTTAAAACAATTATACATTTTTTTTTTCTTTTTTGTAATTTTATTAGAATTTTCAAATTAAAATAAATTTTTTGTTTTATTTTTTTTTTTTCATTTAATATTAAAAATTAAAGCTCTCTTTTGCGTTTCATTTATCCTATCACGACCCAGGGTATCTTTAATATTTTTATTTATTTTCTTTTTTTTCTTTTTTAATTTTGCAACAAATTTATTTTTTACATTTACTTACAATTTACTATTTATTTTGTTTTTAATATTTATTTACATCATTTTACTTAATATTTTCTTCTAGTATTTAAAAGATTTTTTTTAATAATTTATGACTCTTAATTTGTATTCGTTTCATCAATTTGTATTATATGTATATATTAAAATTTATTAAAATTTAAAGAAAAATTAAGTTCAAATAACATGCTTACATAAAATATATTGGTGCAATTAATAAGCAATGACATAATAATTACATAATATTAAAAATGATCAAAGAGAAAATTTGACAATAAAACACATGACATTTATAACACCCCAAATTAATGTCAATTATATAACAAATTGTTATTTTTAACGGATTTGCAAATAAGGAATACGTTGTATACCATTTATAGTGACAATTTGATATGTGTGGATGTTTTTGTGATTTTCACATTAATGTGTAAATAATTTTTTAACCATTTAAAAAAAAATTTTTTGTATTTTTGTCTTCCATAGTTTTTATATTATGAGAATGTTATTTTGCTGATATTAATTTTAAAACCTCTTTAATGAACTTATTTGTCACCTATTAAACCATAAATGATTTAATTACGTAAATTAGTTAATTTTAAAATATTAATTTTTAATGGTTGTCGACATGAATAATTTAAAAAAGGTAATATGATTGCAAATATTATCAATTTTAGCAACATGATACCCATATTCAAAATTGTATTTATTTTTAATTTGGAATACACATTTATGTTATATTAACAAAGTATGTGTAAATAAAGTTTCATAATCAATTTAATAAAAGGAACCGTCCCGTCGATTTTTTTGGAGATCTAATTTAATATTGACTAAACAATAATAGATATTTGATACAACATGGGTGATTCGTTACAGTTGTCAATGTCAAATCGATTCACGTAGATTTGGCATTTCTTTAAGAATGACGTATGTATGCCACACTTATTTTAGAATATTATAAATTTTTTTAATTAATTTTATTCTCAAATATAATTTATTTTTAATTGCTTTATATAAATATATATAAAATAATTTTATATGTATGCATGTATAAAAACTCATATTATTTAGAATTATTAATTCATTTTTAAATATAGAAAAATTGAAATATTAAAATTTAAAATTAATTTTTAATTATGATTTTTTAAAAAATTTTTATGTGTCGTCTACTTTATTTAATTATAATTATATTTTTAATAAAAAGTTGTCAAAATTTTAATGAAAATTGTAAAAATACTAAATTTAAAATTGAGAAATTCGTAGATTTATTCGTGATTAAGTGAGTGATTTTTACAGTGTTAAATTTCAAAAACAAAATAGAGTTTCTTTTTGTTTCTAAAATAATTTAATTACAATAAATTTAATATTTAATTAAGATATAATTTATATTTACTAATAACATGTTAATATTAATGTACAAATTTCTAATTATAAAAAAAAAATTTAAATTTAAAAATAAATGATCACAGAAAAACCAGAAATACGAGGTTATGAAAACGTTTTGTCCAATTTTTTTTACTCATTTTTATCATTCTTTTTTATTTATGTTTTCTCTATTTTTCTATTTCACTTTAATAATAAGTAAATTGAATTTGAATCAATTGTAGAATGTAATTTTTATTTGCAACTACCTAAATATAGAATTTTTATAATTATTCTTGGCAGTTTTAGAATATTTTTAATAAAATATGCTAATTATCGTACACTTTGTAAAAGTTCATCAAAACACGAAGGTGTTATATAAAAAACGAGGATAAGAAATGTTACATAAAGTGGGAGCTGGTGCCCATTATCATGTACAGTGTACATTATTTTATTAATTTATTGTTGCAGTAGTGTTAGTTTACAAATTATGATGTTCTAGAATCACTGAAATTTACAATTTATGCAGTAGTTTAGTTACAATATAAAATTACATTCTTACATTTCTTAACAAAATTCTTATATTTTAAGTTGGAACCTTAAACTATTACATAATGGATTCGTTTTAATTTTTTGAAAATTATTTAAAGCGCATTACCTTTTCTTCAGTCTACAATATAAAATCATTTTTTTTTGTTTTATTTCCTTCTATTGTTTTTAAAATTAAATATTGTATTTTGTAATTAAATAATAAAAAAAAAACCATTACAGACGGACTTTGTCCACCTTTATTTTACAATTTTTTTCCGTTCGTTCGTTATACATACATGCTTATTTACAATTTCTTAACAATTAAATTGTTACTCTAGTGATTTATTTAAATTTTTTAAATTCATTATATTTTACTTAGTTATGGTTAATATTAACTATGCTGAAATTTTCAACAAATTTTCTGATATTCGCATAGTAAAACTGTTGTAAAATAAAATGCCACTTTGCCCATAATCAAATTCAGAAACTAGAAAAATTTAAAACAATCAAAAGAGTATAAAATTTAATTCTTTAATCGTGATCTTATGATTTTCTCTTCACAATTTCTTATTCTGTGTTAGAAGTCTAAAAGCATCACATAATACAACAATTTTTTGCTGTTTTCATTCTAACCTCATTCTTAATATCTGGTTTTCCTTCAATTATTTTACCATTATTTAAACGATTTAATGTTGGACTTGACATATGATATGATTTCTTTTCTTTACATAATTTTTTATTTGGTGGTTTTGCTGATGTTGAACCATTTGTACCTGTTGATGATGATGAAGATGATGATGATAATATACCACTTGATAAACATTGTTTTAAACCTAAACCAACTTCAGCAGCAATTCTAAATGCTTCTGGTACTAAAATATTTGAATATTGGCTAGATGTTTCAACATATGCAGCAGCACCAATATGATTTGCTGCTAATAATGCTTGTTCTGATGTTACTGGTATTCTTGCAAATTGTGTTGCTGAATTATAATTAATTGTATTATATACACTACGATTATCTGTACGGCAACCACATAATATTATTGGTGTTACACGACAATGACGTCTTATTTCAATACACCATTTATTAATTGCTGATGTTAATGAATCTTGATCACCAACATTAAAGCATAACATAAATACATTTGCATCTTGATATGCTAATGGTCTAACACTATCATATGCTCCACCACCTGATGTATCCCATATTTGATAATCAACTGTAAGATCAGAAATTTTTTGTTGTGTTTGATATTTTTCAAAACCAGTCGGTATATAGGTCTATTTTTAAAAGAAAAAAGAAAAAATTTTTTTTTATAATTTCATACAATAAACATAATAAAAATAAATAAATAAATTGGAAAATATTTTTCGAAACTGTCATTAATCAAATGTGTCTACTACACTATCAAACTTAATACAATAATTTTGTAATTTAATTCAAAACCAGGTGAATGGACGCTTTTACAAGAAGCAGTAGTAGATATATCTATAAAAAACAAATTCAAGATTTTATTTGGTACAAAATTATGCTTTTCCAATTTGTTTACAATAAATTTTCTAAAATTAGGTCATCAAATAAAATTTTAAACTGACATTGTCAATGAATTATCAAGACAATAAATAAATAAAGTAGAGAAATCAGTAAATTTTTGAAGTTTTGGTGTTGTTTAGCAAATCAAAGAGAGCCAATTTGTATTTTAAGCCATGGAAATCATGTAATAAATAATATACATATAGTTACTTATCAATAGAAAACATTTTGAAGTTAAAAATCGTGGAATATTAAAAAAATACTTTCAGTTCCTATTAAAACTTTAGATTGAAATTGGGAATATTATGGAACGTTGTATTTTGATTGTATGTTTAAGAAAGTGGCATAGAAGATAATGAATTTAAGCTTAATTGGAGGAAAGTTAATTGACATAAAAATTATAGTTTCTTAATTTCATGATAGTTTTGGAAAAAAAAAATATGACGGTAGCTACATATGTAAAAATTATGCTATTCAAATGACTGTAGGAGCTTTGCAAAAGTAATTTACAAAATAACACGCATAGAGCGTCTAAAAAAATTTTTTTACATCAACTTGACGTTTTTGATTTTTGGTACAATCTGCAGGAAGTAAAGTCGATTTTGCATTTCTGTTTGCATTTTGGTAAGCGCCCATTCACATTAAACTGATTAAAATTTATTTTCACTTTTAAACTCACCTCTGAAAAAATATCATTAACAAAACGTTGAACTAATGCTGTTTTACCGCATTTTGCTGGTCCAACTAATACAATTTTTACTTCTTTAAAGGCACCAGGCCTTTCTAATGAATCAGTTTTTTCTCTTTTCGACATCTTTCAGCAAAACTTCTTTCACACGTTAAATTTTTATGAATTAAGAAAACACTTTATACGGATATTGTATGTTAATTTCAAAGAATTCTGCAAAAAAAAAACAAAACAAGAATGAAAAATTAATTAATATTCATCACAAAAACTTTTTATATTGAAATTATAAAGAAAAATAATAAAAATAAATTCGATACCATAAGAATTCCATTGTAAAATATTTCAATTTTTTGAATTGAAGAACTCACATTTGAAAATTCCAAACAAATAATAAATTTTTTTTGTTCGTCTCAAATTAAAAAAATATTCAGAAACCAAAAGAACAAAAAAAGAGCAAAGAGCAAAAAAAAAAAATAAAGTTATTTTTTCCCAATCTTCATTAGAATCTGATGTCGTAAGATTTTAAAAATAGATTTTCATGAATTGAAATTTAAGGTTCGTTAAACTATTCTAGAATACGAGTACCATTTATTTTATAACATAAGTAATCGATGTCTTTGACCTAAAACTGAAAACACAAGATTAAGAAATTTTACAAAAAATTCTAATTCTCTCTTGAAATTCAATATTAATTAAATTCTCAAATTACGCAGATTAATTTCATATGCAATTTACAACATAATAATTAAATAAAAAGCAAAATAAATCAAGATTCAAGAGAGACTCATAAAAAATTAATTATGATCATAAAATTTATTGTAACTCTCCTTAAAAGCTAGAAAATAATCTCTTATAAATTGAGCTATAAACCATTTAAAAATTTTATTTTCTTATAAAACACAAAAATTTTATTTTTAATGCATCATTTTTGAAATTAAATGAAATGTGTTTACTTAAGTTATGTGTACTATAAATCGCTCATATGCGTCAAAAGTGACATAACTCAAAAAATATGATTTCTGAATTATTTATACAGATGTAAGCATACTTAAAACATTTCTTTTTTGTGCATCATTTGAAAATTTTTGCTTACAATAAAATATAAAATAATGCTATATATCTAGAAATATATATTAACTCCAACTTTAAAAATTGTTTTTCTCAAATGTGCAAATTTTGAGTTATATCAGTATTGCAGTAAACGAATACCTATAAATTACTAGTGTATGTCAGTATATGTATTTAAATATAAGCATAGTTAATATAAAATCAAAGACAATTTTAGGCATTAAATATAATTAAAATAAACGCAAAAGTAATTGAAATCAAATTAATTAAAAAAAAAAAAACCAATAAAGATTATTTTAATTGGTTATAAATTTTTTTAGAAAAAAAAAATAATTATTTTAATTAAAATATTTTCAATTACTCACAGAGATTTTAAAATTTATAGGCAGTCAAAGTAAATTCAATAAATTTATAAAAATTTAATTACTTTTTAATTGAATATAAATTGTGTAATCAAAAAGAAAAAAATTATTTTTAATAATTTTGAGAGCATTTTAAAGAAATTAATGGACACACCGATAATATTTTTTGTTGCTGATTCAAGTTAGTATGATATTAAATTTAATATTAAAAATTTTATTAATTTAAATTCAAATATGAAAGTATTTTTAAGATTTTTAAAATTTCAGAATTCGATTTCTCATATCATACTTAATTATTATATTGAAAACGGGTTAAAATCATCTTATAATTTATGAAATCATCACAAAAATGTAATTAGAATTAAATTCTCTGATCTAGTTACTTATAAATAGCAACAGATTAATCAGAATTAAACTAATGTTATTTTGGTAAGGCTATTAAAATTTCAATAAATCAAGTTGACCGCAATGGCAATTTTTATATTATAATTGCATTTTTAATTCTCAGAACCTACATTTTAAAAATAATAGAAATCAAAAAGAAATTTTATAAGATTTTTGTAAATTAAATCAGCTATTAATAAAAGAAGATGAATTCCTATTTTTTATATTTTACCGTGCCTGCGCCTTCACAATAGAAAATGTTGCGGTTTAAAAGCATATTTGAAAATTTTCTCTACAAAATGGTCCAATAAATTAAAAGTTAAATAATAATAGATCAAATTTTAATGAATTTAAAAATAAAGAATATTTACCAGTGATTTATCGTCTTACATAATAGAAGAAATTTTCTTTGTTACTTTAAAAAAGGCTAATTTTTTAAATGTTTGAAATGAAGGCAAGTTTTTAAAAATCAGTCATTAAAAATTATTATAGCTGATATCAAATTATAGTGTAATCTAACCATAATATTTTTGCATTAGATAGAAATAATTAATCAAATAAGATTTATGAACAAATATGAATAATTATAAAAGAAATAGGAAGAATCAAGACGTGTACCATGTTTATTTATTGGAGTAAAGTATCGAAAACCTTCATTCAATGTGACCATATACATATGTGTATAGGTAATTAAAATCTCAATATAATCCATGATGTTAATTAATTCTTACCAAAGCGTCAATTAAATTAAATGTGCAATTGTGTGATGCCGAAACATCAAAATAAATTTATTTCAAATTTCTCTGCGACATGTGATATTTTCCAATTGATTGAATCCATGTCAAAAATAAAATATGAAATGTTCATGTATTTTCTCAAATTTCTAGGCAATGAATTTATTAAGGTCAAGTAATTTTTCGAAAATTTTCAATTCTTTACCAACATTCAAACATAAATATCTCTATTGTTATTATGTCAATATTTATTATTATAATTCGATTAGGTTTCATTTTTCTTTTTCTATAAAATATTTCAATCAATAACTATATTCATATTGTTGTTAGACCACCTCCGCAAAATCAAGTTTTTGGAATTCATTGATTTTCATCTGTAATATTCAAAATTTTCAAAAAATTTTAATTTATCTCGAAAAGATTTTCAATTTCTACGGCTATAATTTTATGATACATAAAACTCTATGGTTTAATAATTGATATTTATAATGCCATTAAAATTTTATCCATTTAAGGTGTTGTTTTTTATAAGTTCATGCTATAAGATATTATGATGCACATTAACGAATATATACTGCTTATAATGAACACTTTACGCTAAATTTATGATTTTTTAACAATTATTTATGCTTCATTATAGTTTAAAGAAATGACTACGAAAAAAAAAAGTTAATTCAATTTCTTAATGCACTTTTAATTTAATATTCTTATAAATATATTAACCTATAATATTCTGATATTTTATAGTCTAGTTCTAGATCTAAGCTCTATAAGCACTTTAATTAAAAATAGGTATATGTCCGCGTGATTTATGTATTTTAATAATATAATTGCAGGCTTATAAAATAAATTAAATTTTTTATAATTTTTTATTTTTCATACAATTTTGGTTTAAAATTGGCTGTTACAATCTATACTTGTGACTGTTACAATCTATACTTATTTTCATACCTAGTTGCTGTTGAATTATTGTACATTTCAGGCCAAGAATTAATAAATTCAAATGTTCATATATGGAACAAAATTGCATTTTATACAGAGAACTTGAAATTAAAATATAGATGTGCAATGTTATCCAAAAATGGCAGTTTTGTAAATTCTAGTAAATCTTGAAATTGTGATTACAAATAAATAATTATGTTTATGTACATGTCCATATATATACATACGTATGAAGATATAAAATATAGAATATTTGTGCAAAGATTTGTCACAATACAATAAAGCTGTCAGCAATATAATGAAATAGAAGATTATATAAGGTATTTATTCTTAAATTTAATGAAATTGTTAAACTTTTTTAATGACTTTCACAAAATAAATACTATCTATTTTTTTAAGTGACAACGTTTTCTTGTTGACATCGATTATTTTAAGATTTTGAGCAATTACTTCATCAGTATATCAAATATATGTTGTATGAACATATTTATATTACTCTTAAAATTTTCAAGTATATTTGTTAAAATGAACATCAATCCATTTTAAAACGTATGAACTCCTAATAATATCAGTTTTTTTTTTAAAATATATAGATAATCCAAAAATTTAATCACAATTGAAATTGTATTCATAAAAGTAATATGTAAGAGGCAACATATTCATTTCATACCTCTCCTAAATAGTGGCACAAAAATTTTATCTTATTAATTTTGTTCTTAAATTTTAGTCAACCACGTCATTTAAAAATTCTTTACTATAATTAATTGCAGTACCTATAGCTAGTTAGATATCCATTTTTGTATATTTTTAGTATCTCCGTAATGTAATAGCCAGTAGTAAATAAAATCAAATATTAATCCTCCACATTCTCCTTCATTAACGGCTACTTAAGGTCTTCAAATTTATAAATTAATTCAGTAACAGGTGGGAATAACTCTTAATAACCATTAAAAAAAAAACATGCATATCAGCATATAAATAAATTTAAAAAAAATGTTAATTTAAAATTCATTAAATATATTAAACTTTTATATTTAAAAAAAAACAAATGATTTCAAAAATAAAATTTTAAAATTCCCCATATTTAACATAATTTGAAATTTCTATTCATTTTAATGACAGATCATCAATATTTTGATTATAAACAAACAGTACCAATAAAAACAGAGGCGGTAAAAACATTACAAAACAATCGAATCGATTTACTCCACATTATAATATTTTAAACAATCGAATACGCTTTTGTATACCTACTTATGTAATTTTATAGCATAGATTTTATCTTTGTTTATATTGTTTCTTTTTTGTTTGTCTCACTCTCTTTTATTTTATATAGAGAAGGAATGTCAAAATTGTAATAAAAATTATGTATTATGTTAACATTATTAATAACGCCATTTTAATTAAATAACATTTGTAATTTTATAACGGAACAAGAGCGCTGCTATTCTATTAAATCATGCATGCATAAATTACACACAATGTAGAAACAAAATAAAATGTTTACTTTTATGTGAATAAATTATTAGAAAAAATAAAAGAAAAATGAAATTTATAAAATAAACAATAGAAAACCTCAAAAATGAAAAAAAAAAAACAAATTTAATAATATTCACTTTTACTTTTAAATTATAATAAAAATATTTTTTAACATAATTATTGTATGTTTATAACTTTATAATGGGATTTATTATTATGGGGGCAAAAAAGCATGACATTACAA